AGGGGAGCAGGTTAAATATTGATGATAATTCCGAAAAATTTACAAACACATTGTTAATATAGAGATCTTCAAAGCATTTCAGACCTTTATTTTCCCAGAAAGAAAATACAGAATCTGAGAAAGGAGGAAGAAAAAGATGATTATTATTTATAGGGGCCATAGTCGATGCAGAGGTAAATTTAAAGTGACGCCTAAATTGAAAGAATATTTTAAGAGAAGCACACACTATTAGATTATCTGTATAATGCGAAGGGGACACTGGTAGAGAAGAGAATACCATAGCAGGGAGAGATGTTGAAGAACAGGACTTTGCTTCTAAGTAGCACCATGATAAAGAAGAGGCCTGTACCCAAAACACCAGTTTCTGAATATTTGCCGCCCAATAATAATACATAAAGTTAGGCAAGGAGAGCCCTCCACTTATTCGACTTTTTTGCAGAGAACTTTTGGAAACTCTAGGAGATTTACCTGCCCATATAAAAGAAGAAATTAACTGATCTATATTCTTAAAGAAAGATTTTGGGAGAAACAAAGGAATAGCTTGAAAGAGGTAAAGAAACTTTGGAAGAATATTCATTTTTACAGCATTTATCCTGCCTAGTGGTGATAATGGGAGCGATGCCCATCTTGAAAAAGCTGATTTCATGTATGAAATTAAAGGTGTAAAATTTGCTGACTTTAAGGCAGAATAAGAAAGAGTAACATTAACACCAAGATACTTGAATTTAGTTCTCTCCAAATGGAAAGGGATGTCATTCTGTTTTAATTTTTGGCCAGATTGGTTTATAGGTAGACATTCACTCTTCTGAAAGTTCAATTTATACCCAGAAAACTTACCGAAATTATTTAATAAACAAATTATTTGGGGAATAGATGCAATTGGATCAGTGATATAGAGTAATAAGTCATCAGCATATAAGGCTAACTTATGTTCCATTCCTTTACGGATTATACCTTGAAATACAGGAAGTGTTCTAAACATTATTGAGAGGGGTTCAATAGCTATTGCAAAAAGTAATGGAGATAGAGGGCACCCTTGACGTGTGCCCCGAAATAAGTTGAAATACTCAGAGTTAACATTGTTTGTATAAATTGAAGCTTGCGGGTCAGCATATAGTAAGCGAATCCATGATATTAATCCATTCCCAAAACCAAACTTTTCCAGTACTCTGAAAAGGTAAACCCACTCTATCCTATCAAATGCTTTTTCAGCATCTAATGAAATAATTACCTCTGAGGAGTCGCTGCTTTGTCTTGAGTATATAATGTTAAACAGAGTGCGAATATTAGAAAATGAATATCGTCCTTTAATGAATCCAGTTTGTTCCTCTGAGATAATACTAGGAACTATTGGTTCTAATCGAGAGGCCAGAATTTTGGCTAAGATCTTAACATCAACATTGAGTAGGCTAATGGGTCTGTATGAATTACATAATGTTGGATCCTTCCCGTCTTTAGGCAATAGAGTTATAGTTGCTTGTCTCAATGTTGGGGGCAATTTACCTAGATCTAAAGATTCCTTAAAAACAGACAGAAGCAGCGGAGCCAATTTGAAATGAAATTTATTATAAAATTCTGATGGTAGACCATCAGGACCGGGGGATTTCTTAGACTGCAATGAGTTAATTGATTTGGTAATCTCCTCTAATGTAATTGGCCCATCAATTTCGGACACTAAAATAGAATCAACCTTAGGAAAGCTAATGCGGCCAAGAAATTGGTTTAATTCTTCTAGATTGTTAGAAGCTTCATTTGTATACAGAGAAGAGTAAAAGTTTTTAAATATGGAATTAATCTTAACTGGATCAGAAGTTAGTGTACCATCAGGTTGTGCAATTTGTGTAATAAAGCGTGAAGCGGCTCTCTTACGAAGCTGATGGGCTAAAAGACGACTGGCCTTATCCCCGTATTCGTAATAACTGCCACGTGTCTGTAACAAAAGCCTCTCAGCCTCACCTGTGGATAACAAATTAAATTCTGCCTGCAAATTTAGCCTTTGTTTATTTAGCTCAGGAGTTGGGCTATGAGCATACTGGTCATCTAGTGCTTGAATATCTTCAGATAACTTTTTAATCTTATTCCTACGCTCCTTATTAATATAGGCAGAATAAGAAATTATCTTCCCTCTTAAAAAGGCCTTTAAAGTTTCCCACAGTAAGGAATAGGAGATTGAATCGGTCTGGTTAGTAAAGAGAAAGTCATCTATTGAATTAGAAATATATTCACAAAAAGCTGAATCGGATAGAAGTAAAGAGTTGAACCGCCAGGGTGATCGAGAAGTATGTGGTAAGAATAAATTAATATCGAGACTTAGAGGGGCATGATCTGAAATAACAATTGGTAAATATTCAGAGTCTACCACCTGAGTAATTAGAGAATTATTAATAAAAAAATAATCAATACGAGAGAAAGATTGATGGACATTTGAGAAAAATGAATATTTTCTTGCTGAGGGATTAAAGTGTCTCCATGGGTCAGTATAACCATTTTGAACCATAAACTCAGAAAAAACCTTTGACATACCAGAGGGAACTTTCTTAATAGTACTGGATTTATCCAATTCTGGGTCAATAACGCAGTTTAGGTCTCCCCCGAATATTAAATGATGTGTATTCAGAGCTGGGATCTTTGACAACAAATTCTGAGCAAAAAGAGTATTATCAAAGTTGGGGGCATATACATTTACCAAAACTACTGGTGTTTGTGAAATTTTCCCTTTCACAATTAGGTATCTACCATTCACATCAGAAATAACATTGTCCATAGAAAAGTGAACAGTCTTATTTATCAATATGGCAACTCCTCTACATCTGGAATCAAAGTTGGAATGAAAAGTGTGTGATGTCCATCGAGTTTGGAGTCTGCCTTGATCCTCAAGTCGCAGATGTGTTTCCTGAAGGAATATGATGTCAGGTTTTTGTAGCTTCAAATGAGTCAAAACTTTAGATCTTTTAATAGGACCATTGAGTCCTTTAACATTCCAACTCAAGAATCTAACTAAATTTCTGGTTTTGTTCATCTAGTTGCTTTAATATACAAGTTGAGAGAAGGCCACAAGCATAGAAGCACAAAAAAAAAAAAAAAAAAAAAAAAAAAACAAGGACAGGAAAGGAAAAAAAAAATAAATAAATTAAAAAATAAAGATAAATAACACCGCCCACCATCCCTCCCCACCCATCTTTACCCGGAACATTACTCAACTTCTTCTCTCCATTCCCAAACAATGGAGGCAGAACTCCAAAACTTGTTAACCTCCGATGCACAAAAACACTATATATCGGCATCAAAATCACGTGAGGTCACTCCCGAACATATAAAGCAAAAGTCATTTCTGGCACCATGAAAAAAAAAAAAAAAACGTTTGTCTGAACCAGCTTGGTTAACAGTCATCAGTTAACGGAGTACTGTACAGCTGTAAATACAATGATGTTTAATACGTATTCATCTCAGTGTGATGTCTAAGAAGTAGAATACCGTTCGTTGAACCACCGCTGGGCTTCTTTAGGGCAGTCGAATTGAAACTTTTCATCGCCAATGCTGATAATTAGGCGAGCCGGAAATCTAAGAGAAAATCTCACGTTCTTCTCACGCAAGCCATTTCTCACAACTGAAAATGCTGCTCTCCTTTTAGCCACACTAGAGTTGTAATCAGGGAAAACGAAGATCTTGTGGCTCTGATAGAAGAGCTGGTTCCAATTCCCTCGCCGGACAACCTTTTCTTTGTCAGTGAAGTAGTGAAACCGCACGATCATCACTCTAGCTCTTTGATTCTCCTTGTCGGCCAAAGATGCGGGGCCAATACGGTGCGCTCTATCCAGCAATGGAGGAGCTGGAAACATCTCCGATCCGAGCACGTCCTGGAAAAAGTGCGACATAAATGTGACCGGATCGCTCCCTTCTACTCCTTCTGGAAGGCCGATAACCCGGAGATTACAGCGCCGAGAGCGCGATTCCAAGTCCTCCACTTTCTCGGTGAGTACTTTATTGGCTGAATTCAACTTTAGCACCGTCTGCTCCAGTGCTACAATGCGGTCGCTGTAATCGTTCATATGCTGATCAAGTTCGTCAATGCGTCGACCTTGTGACTCGATGCTTGATTTAAAACTCTCAAAAGATGCAACAACTGGAGCAAGAGCAGTGTCAATTGCTGCTTTCACCTGTTCTGCGATGGTAGAAGTTAGCTCGGTGATCAGCGTGGCGCGGAGATTCTCCAGATCCAGCGGCAGCCTGTCGCCATGACTCTCTGTCGCGGCCGCCGACGTTTTAAGTTTTTTCTGCCTTTCAGAAGCCATAAGTCCTTCCAAACTGTAACCGTCTGATGCCCGATGCAAATAGGAAACCACCAAGCGTGTTTGAAGATTTAAGCAGCCAGCTAGATATATTGAAAGATGAAAATGCTCGGGAGCTAACCTCAAGTGCGTCTACCCACTCACATGCTTAACCGGAAGTCCTTTCGGAAGAGTGTTGTTTTAATGGAATGTCATACCGCATACTGTAAGGGATAAAAACCTCTGCATTTTGTCATGCAGGTGTCTGTGGTCTTTCACTGATTCGGTAAGTGCAGAGAATGTGTGTGTAGATTATCCGATCCCCAATTGCGGCGAAAGGCCTACACGACAGTAACAGTTTGAATGGGTTTACATTTTAAAATCTGATTATTGGTGTCCAGGTAAACGTACTCATTGTTAACAATACTTTTATTTCTGTCTGAATAAAGCTTGCAAGTAATCATGAACAATAATATGAACACCATGTATAAACTGTGGTCATGCTAATTTCAAACAATTTGATTATAACTTCATGTACTTTATTTCTAAAAATGCGGCTCTGTTTAATGTTTTACCATCCACATAATCCCACTGAATCAACTTGAGGTGTTTTTTTCAGGAACACAAAGGTTTGAATTTACAATTTCATCATTCCAAACCCAACTATCAATCACACAAGGTAGACTGAATAGAGCTTGAAAAAAAAAAGAAGGAATGAATAGGGAAACTCACGTTTGAACAGCAGCATGTCGTTGCACTCTACCTCGTTGCAGGAGCAGATGTGGAAAGGGCCGCTGTTTGAAATCCTCTTTTTCATTTCGCACTTGGTGTTGTTGTTGTTCTCCACCATGATGCCGTAGAGGGGCACGGTGGGGTTGTGGCACAACGTCTCGATTGTGTTGTTGTCATCACTCTGCCTCCTGAGGATACAAACATAAACATACACTGTGCTTAGGGGGATTATGCCATCAAATGACAGGTTTGTCAACATGAAATAAATTTAGCTGTTATTTAAAATTCTCAATTGATTTTGACAATAAGCGTCCTTTTCATTGTTACATCAGTAAAATTAATAAGCACTTAGACAAAGCAATGACCTGATGCTATATTTAACTGCACCGTTTACACAATTCAAAACAACATAGAATTGACAGCACATTCAACTTTCACATTGTCAGACCCCCTAGTTTTTTGCAATTCCGTGATCGCTGAATCCAAAGCAAAATCAACAAAAAGTCGCAAATTTTTGCGATTCTGCAAAATTCTTAATTAAACGCAAAAATAATCTCAAAAAAATGTAAATAATCTCATAAAACATAAAATTCCAAACCATATAGTAAAATTATATTTATTTCAGTATGCAATTAATTGTTTAACAAGACTTATAGCCGTTGCATATATGTCTTTTGAAAAATGACGCAGTTGAAGCGCAAGTGATTTACATGTGAAGTTAATGCAAAAAATCATTAGACATCCTCTGGGGCATTTTGTGAGTTTGACGTGCTCCAGACTGCAAAAAAAGTGCGAGCAAACATCTAAAAAAACGAAGCAGTGGAACAGACAGAAAAGCAAGCAGCTTCCAATGTTGGAGATTCGTTGAAGGATGACGGTCTCTGGACTTGACCAAATTGAAAGACATTATTTGTGCTTTACACGTATGGCTGGTATTATGGTGTTCATTAAATTGATAAGTGATTTAGTTCAACAACTCTTTCCCTGAAGTTAACGAGAAAAACCCAAAATGCTTCCCTGAGACGAGTTTTACTGCAATCTGTGGTTTAGGTGTATTACGGTAGGAGAAGCCTCAATGCATTTCCTGAGTGAGGTGCATATCAGATGCTCTGGGGAGCAAAATCTGAGACAGAGAAAAAGTAAGTTCAGGGATAAAAATTATACAGCCTTCCTTTGGCTTAATCCCTACCATTTTCGATCTGTTTTAGATCTTGTCTTGACAAGAGACCAAAATAAAGAAGCTTTATAATTTAGAGTGCTTGTTATTGTGTCAGATTGCATACCTAAGTTAACATAGTAGGCTGCCTAATAAAGTAACTAAGATTTACCATATATATCAGTATTGACGGGTACCAAATCCAAACTTTTGACAACACTTATTGAGAGTAAGTACAAGGGCTTAACTTGTGCCGGAACACACCAGATCCGGCACCTCATTTTACTGATCCCCCTCCTCAATCGCCACCATATTTTGTGAAAATTTTTAAAATGATATTGGAATCTGTGAATGTTTTACACTTGTGTGCACAAGACGTTTCACACTTAATATAAAGCTGCGGAAAAGGATGACTTTGACAAGGACGTACCAGATAGCCACACAGATCTCATCTGGACTCTCACAGATGGACGTGATGGAGCAGTTGCTTTCACAGGTGTCTTTGCCATTGCAGTTGCTTTCCAACACATCACAGAATTTACATAGTTGAGGAATCCGATAGGGACGGTAAAAAGGATTATTTCCATCTAGGATAAAACACAAACAACATCAGATATTAAAAATCTTTGACATTTTACAAAGCTCATTTACATTACGTGAACCCTTGCAATAAAAATAAGGCATCTCGAGTGTGATTTTAAAAACCTGGAATTAATTATTCACTATTATGCTCTGTCAGATATTATCTATTCTAAAGTATCCCAAAAGAAAGAAACTGAATTTAAAAACTATTTCATCCATAATATCCATCTTATTCCAGCAGAAGTTTGTGCAGGTTTGTCTAAAACAACACCTACTTTACTCCCAAACACTGTAGTTATACTGTAGCTGAAGCCTGCAACAGTTTGTTTTATTCAGAAGCCATTGTTTTCTGTGCTGAGGACTTCGTTCAACGTTTTCAAACATTTATATTTGATTTACCAAAGTCAAGCAAGTGCCTATTTCACATCTGTCACATCTATAATTAAGCAAATCCTCAAAAATGCTTTAATTGATGTAAAAAAATTTACTGCTCATATTACTGTTGAGGGAGCAAACAGAGCTGAATTTCAGATATTGGATAGATGTTTTCTTTCTCAAATACACTCTAATTGATATACCAATCACAACAGATTGGGACATCTGTGCAATCAGTGCAAAGTAGGCTCTGAGAAAAGCAAGGATTAGAGTGACCTGATCCTTGAATGTGCCATTTTAGATTTAGACACTGTAAAAGTGCTTGCAGTGCACTTTTGGCCCTATAAAACGCAAGCTTGTGTGACAATGTTTTTTTTTTTTTTTTTTGCGTGACACTGCATTTCATAGATGGTGAACTCTCATTGCTAATACTGCAAAAAAAATATATAAATAAATTAAAAAAAAAAAAAAAAAAAAAAAAAAAATATATATATATATATATATATATATATATATATATATATATATATATATATATATATATATATATGCTTTTCTTACTTAGATTTTTTGTCTTGTTTTTAGTCTAAATATTTACAAAATTAATAGTCTTAGATGCAATTTTCCGGACAAGCAAAAGTAATTTTTGTTTTAAGAAATAATATGCCAAAATATAATTAATAAGCCAAATTTAAGTGAGTTTTTCCTCAAAACAAGCCAAATTAATAAAACAAATTCTCAAAAAGACAAAAAAAGAAAGAAAAGGTATTTTTGCAGTGAATTTACATCATGTACAATTGAAGTCAGAATTATTAGCCCACCTGAATTATTAAAAAAATGAAAAAAGATGCCATTTTTATCTGTCTTATTTTCATCTCATGTTTAACAAATTGACATATTTTAGTTTAAGTGTAGGTGCTGAGGTAAACCCGATTTTACCAAGGCCTGCTCACATTAAAAATGTCAGAACTTCTCATTTTCTTCTTGTCGGCTTAGTCCCTTTATTAATCTGGGTCGCCACAGCGGAATGAACCGCCAACTTATCCAGCAGGTTTTTACACAGCAGATGCCCTTCCAGCCGCAACCCATCTCTGGGAAACATCCACACACACATTCACACACACACTCGTACACTACTCATAGCCTACCAAATTCACCTGTACCGCATGTCTTTGGACTGTGGGGGAAACCGGAGCACCCGGAGGAAACCCACGCGAAGGCAGGAAGAACATGCAAACTCCACACAGAAACACCAACTAAGCCGAGGTTCGAACCAGCGACCTTCTTGCTGTGAGGCAACAGCACTACCTACTGCGCCACTGCCTCGCCCCCATGTCAGAACTTGCCACTGATTTAACATCTGACCATCATATCTGATCAAATGAAGGAGTCTAAGATGTGCAAAATCTGCATAAAGTCAATACATCTTTTACTGCCCTTGGATGAAGTCCTAAGAGACCACAAAAGAGTGCGAGATAAAATGCTGGCTGCTTCTGCCATCAGATAGACACGCTGCTCTCTCTTTTATCTGCCTTTCAATGCTCTGTTTGAACCTGCTTTCCTCTTTTCGTCTTGTCAGGTTCCTGAGACTCTGACCTAAATGCACTGATGCGATCAAGCAAACACCGGCACAGAGAGACCAAGCGGCGTCAAACTCCTGTTTTTGAGAGCACACTCTGACATCAAGACCTCAGATCAGTGGAAAAGTTATGCTTCTGCCACCGGTTTAGTCTGTACATCTGGAGACCCGAAAGGTGAGCTCAAAAGCACACACTTACTTTGGTGACTCATTTCTAAGAGTGTAAGGTTTCTCAATTGCAGTGTGCCTGTATTTGGCCAATCCATAAGAAGTCGTTAAACTGCATTACGTAATTTGTTAGCTTAACTGCTCTTTGGAGCACCACACACACCTCCTAGACTTTCCTGTGATAAAAGGCCACCTTGGCTCTATGGGACTAAAAGGGGCACCGGTCATTCAAACACACTGAAAGACACAGAGGACAATCTGTACAGTAAGTCCAACACATATTTAAACACATTAATCATATGGCAAACGCATTAAACCAGCACTCCACTGTAATAATACTCTAACGGAAAGAGGTTTAGTGGGCTTATAAAAGCTCATTTATACCAGTTTCGTCATTTAAAACACTGCGCTGTTAACTTAATGCAAAGTGAAAACAAAAATATATTAAATAAATATTAATATTATACATATTATACATATTATAAATATTATACATAAATATTAATAAGCAACAGAACTAGGGCTGCACAATAACATTTTGTCATCGATATCACAATGTGCGAGTCTGCAATAGTCACATAGCAGGGATCTGCAATGTAGTTGGATTTATAGTTGACCAGACATTAGTTAACAACATAGTGGAGTCATTTTCAATTTTAACCTCAGGGCTCCTACACACTGGGATGCTTTTCGTTTGCGTTTATCGTCAGCATTTTACGAGATGTTTTTCTGCATTCAAACCCAAGTGATTTTCACTGGCGTCAAGCAGAAGAGTATGCAAAATCACTCCTTGACGTTAGATGGCGCTACACAACTTTAAGCTTCCGACACCCACTTGTAACGCAGAAGAAGAGGAAGAGAGGAAGTTCACACGCTTGTTGTTAAAGTTACTGGTGACTCCGACAAGCATAGATGGTTCAAGTAGCAGCTCCAGATCTAGCGATGAAGAAATGATTATTGTTCACAAAGCAATAAGCAGCTCCACGTTCATGTCGCCTCTGGACATCTTCTTCAATGTGCATTGACAGTTTTGCGCTTGAGCGCCTCCAAGTGCTATTTACTGTAACTTCAGCAGCTCCGTGCACGTGAACAAAAGTGCCAACCTGATTGGTGGAGAAGGTTTTAACGCGGCGCGTCAAATAAAAAAAACGAGCATGAGGTGGTTTTTTTTAAATGACAATTTTGCGCCTGCCGTTTAGCTCGTTGGTGTGTACAATCACATTGATGCTCTTTATATAGTCACGAGGCATTAAAGCTTGACGGAAAATGCGAGCAAAAAACATCTCTGTGTGCGAGTGAAAGTTTATTATTTGCATGTAATTTCAAGGCCTGTGACCAATTTAAACCATTTGGGCACTATGAATTAAACGCAAGCAGCTTTAAGTGTACATTCTACAATTACTTACTCAATAAAAACTATACATTGTTAAGTTTTTATTATTATAAAGTGATTTTTTCATTTATTTCTGAATGAAGAAAATCAAAAATTCTTTATTTAAATCTTTTCACTTTTGTATTAAACATTGCTTGACATTTTTTAAATTAGCCTATATTTTATGCAGATACACTCCCCTACAGCAATCAATCCCAAATTGATCTTAAATTATGAATTATTTGCAAGCTATTTAAGTCATCTGGTCAATATGTATTTATATCGCAATATATTCATTCATTCATTTTCTTTTCAGCTTAGTACCTTTATTAATCTGGGGTCACCACAGCGGAATGAACCGCCAACCTATTCAGCATATGTTTTACGCAGTGGATGGCTTTCCAGCTGCAACCCATTTCTGGGAAACATCCATACACACTCATACACTACGGACAAATTTGCCTACCCAATTCACCTGTACCGCATGTCTTTGGACTGTGTGGAAAACCGGAGCACCCGGAGGAAGTGAATGCGAGGAGAACATGCAAACTCCACACAGAAACGCCAACTGACCTAGCCGAGGCTCAAACCAGCGACCTTCTCTGTGAGGCGACTACCTACTGTGCCACAGCGTCGCCCCATCGCAAAATATTTAGCACCAAATTAAAATATTGCAATGTCAGTTTTTTTTACAATATCGTGCAGCCTTAAATAAAAACATAAGTAAATAATACTTCAAAAATACTGATTCAAAAGACATTTAAATTAGATGCGCACAATTTATTCATTCATTTTCTTGTCGGCTTAGTCCCTTTATTAATCTGGGGTCGCCACAGCGGAATGAACCGCCAACTTCACCTGTACCGCATGTCTATGGACTGTGGGGGAAACCGGAGCACCCGGAGGAAATCCACGCGAAGGCAGGGAGAACATGCACAACACTCCACACAGAAACACCAAATGAGCGGAGGTTCGAACCAGCGACCTTCATGCTGTGAGGCGCAAGCTCTACCTACTGCGCCACTGACTCGCCTTAGATGTGCACTATGTATTGGTAAAATACTGGGCTTTATTTATCATATTAGTCAATATTGTATTTTTATTTGTGCAAGATTTTTACTTTTTTGGTCATGAACATGACTGCATGTCATCCCATTGGTTGTTGGATGAAAATTTGGCATCGTTTACTCACACTTGACTTGTTCCAAACCAGTTTTTAAGTAAGATATTTAGAAGTATATCGGAAACCTATAACCCACAGGTGTTAAACTGAAGACCTTGTATGGAGCCAGATCAGTCTCAAAAATAATACATTTACATAATATAATTCATAAATCCACAACACAATACAATTCACATTTACAAAATATAATTTGTACATTTAAAACATGATGAATTCAAAATTCATAAATGCACAAATCCAGTTCATTAGTTTAAAACACAATTCATAAATACTTAAATCCAATTTGTAAGTTTAAAACACTATTTATAAATACACAAATCCAATTTGT